TGCTCGTGTCAGGGAAAGTTCAGAAGTTGAAAGCTGACAAGTAGAGGGGCTTAGTGACATCTCTGTTGCAAGCAATAAGCAGAAGGATGGTGTCCCCACAGCCTTGGAATGGCCCAGTGGGAACTCTAAGAGAAGTCATCTTCTTATAACCTTAAAGGTCACCATCACCAAAATACTTTACGACCGCTCATACCAGGGATACCAACAAATGTCATCTTTGTGCGTCAGCCCACTGCTTGATTGCTTGTGGCTGCCTGGTGTCATCTTGAGGAAGGAGTGCAGTCATAGATTGGTGATGTCTGCCAGAGCAGTCTGGAGAGATGAAGAGCCATGATGTGTTGATGGGCATCTAGAGAGGTCTGGGCCATTTGGAGCTCAATTCGTGCTTTGAGCACATATGCAAGTAGCACCAAAACAATGGAGCCCCACTTCCATCCGGGCAGTTCCGGTTCATGGTAATCCTATAGAACGGAGGAGAACTGCTCAGTAGGGGATCTGAGACTGTAAATCTGGACAGGAACAGGCTGCCAAGTCTTTCCCCGCTGGATCAGCATATGGGTCTTATCCTCAACCTCTGGGTTGCTTACCAGACTGCACCTATACACAGAGAGGCGGGGTAGCTCCCAGCAGTGAACCCAGACAGAGGTCATTTTAAAAGCCTGATCGACACGCTTGAATGAACAGTTTGTAAAGCTTTTTACCTTCTCCTCCCCCTAAAGCAGCGACTCTCAACCTGTGGGTCGCAACCCTGTGGGGGTCAAACGACCCTTTCACAGGGGTCACCAAATTCATCACAGTAGCAAGATGACAGTGATGAAGTAGCAACAAAAATAATGTTATGGTTGGGGGGTCACCATAACATGAGGAACTGTTTGAAAGGGTCGCAGCATTAGGAAGGTTGAGAGCCACTGCCCTAAAGGATGGAACATGTTTGCACCTTAAAACGAGTAACCCTCTGGCCAAAGGCTAGATACCTTCCAAGCCAGCATGCGAGTGAGTATGCCTTCCCCTTGGGTCTGGCCAGCGTGCCTCTCCAGTCCCTGGACCCCAGGCTCCATTCCCAATGCTGTGCTATGCTTGTGGCTGCATAAGCCGGGTCCTTGCCCCTCCACCTCGCCTTGGCTTTTGCTTTATCACTGTGGAGGGGCCCCAGTGATGATTCAGGGCATGCATCTGGTGGGGTGTGGCCCTGGTCAGGTTTTCAGCCCTGGCCTGAGACCTGTTAGAGAGCCTCTTCCTGACCTACTTGTCCCTCCCAGCTGCCAGCTCCCGCTGAGCTCTCTCCTGACTCAAGGTGGGGACCTGTCAGAGCTCTGTGCTGGGGCACATGTGGTCCTCTTTCATCTGGACCCTGCAGGCCTGCCTGTCCTCGCTCTCCTTTGTGCCCCATCTGGGATCAGCTTTCACACGCCCCAACTGGTGACAGGGAAACCGCTCTTGTTCATTGTGCCTTCCCCCTGCTGTGGTTGCAGCGCCGAGCCTCCAGGCCTCTGAATGACTTGTGCCAGAATGCGCCCTTGGTTAGTGATAAGCCCAGGCCACATCTCCAGCTGCCTCCCCACCGGGGCCTTTGCAGTGTCCTCTGTGTGGCAGTGCTTGTGTATGTCTGTGTGTTCTCCCTAGGCTCTGAGTCTTCAGTGTGTGTGTGTGTGTGTGTGTGTCTGTGTGTTTTCCCTAGGCTCTGAGTCTTCAATGTGTGTGTGTGTGTGTGTTCTCCCTAGGCTCTGAGTCTTCCATTTTGAGTTACAGCAGAGTGTGCAAATAGTTACTGCTGGGTTTCATAACGTACGCTCAGTATGAGGGGGCTTCCAAAAGTTCATAGGAAAAGCCCATTATCTTTTCATTCCATTTTTCTATGAAAGTTGTTTGTATCAAGGGCTATCAGCAGGAATATGTGAAGTGAAAACTCAGAGTTCGGGGGTTTAGCTGCTTAGCGATAGCATGCATTGGTTTTACTGCTGCTGGAAATGATTTCATCCGATTTTGTCGCCTCTGCCCATCGGATGCGCTTGGTAACTGATTGCTCTTGTAGAGCAAAACGGAAGCAAAGGGAGAGCGTTGTCTGATGCGGTCACGTCATTCTTCTGGCTGAGAGAGAACCAGGGTTTTGACAGCTCATGATAAGCGCTGCTTGACGCTGGGATAGTTTGATGTTTTATGCATTCATGGAGAATTGTCTTTAGCACTCAGGCTCTGACTGCACAACGAGCCCCAGACCCCGCTCTTCTGAGGACGACCGTGGTGTTTCTTTAGGCTCGCTGTTCCTGGGGCACAATTAGCAGGTAGTGAGCAGCTGCGTGTTTCTTGCTTTACCGTGTGGGAAGTTGGAAGAGCAGCCTGATGGAGGGTGTGCTGATTTCCATATGAAATTCACACAGGCATTATGATCAATATTGTATTTGTTTGTTAAGGACAAAGAAGAGAACGGGAAGCTTGCCTTATGCAGAAGGCATCAGGCAGTGAACGGATATTAATTTTAGGTTTGTATAAGGCAAGAGCTGGTTAAAAGGCTCAGCGGCTTACCCTCCTTTGTTAATTGCACGGCTGTCTCGGCGACACCCTTTGTGCCATTTTCACTTTGCATTTCGGGCCATTTAGAATGGGGTGAGAGGAGGCGAGTGCCCTGCCGATCCAGGGGCCACGCCCTCAGTGAGGCTTCATGAGCACGTGAAGGGAAAACTCGGGATCACAGTTGGCAGTCTGTGAAATCTCGTGTCAGTTGCATGCAGGCTCCCTGTAGTTTCAGGTGAAGAATTTTAATTCTTTTAGAGTCTACCCGTGGTTTTCCTGACTGATAAGTGAAAGAGTGCTCATTATTAGAAAGCTTAAAAATAAGGAAAAGTAGATGAAAACATACCCCTTGACTAATGTTAATAACAGTCTTGGTATATTTCTTTTAATACCTTTATTCTTTATATAACAATAGTATCCCCCACACCTGAAAAATAAAAGGATGGACACTGTGGCTGCGACAGTGGGCTCAAACGAGGTCATGTTTGCTTGCTGTGTGCTGGAACCGGCTCGACAGCACCTAACCACCGTTGTAGAGGAATCAGATCCTCTTAATGCTTAATCAGATGCTCCAAAGCATCGCACTCAGGTGAAGGTCCCTGAGCCTCTCCTGTTTCTGACCTTCTCTCTGAAAGGACTTAGCTCGCTGCAAGTGTCCACACGACCTAGTGGAGATCTTTACTACATGTGCTCTGCCATGGTGGACGCGGTCCACGCAGTGGGACAAGGCGCTGGGGTGCAGCTCCGCGGATTTCTTGGGGAGGGGCCAGGCCGCCGTGAGGGTCTGTGCCAGGCCTACATCCAGGAGACTGCTAAGCGGCTGCAGGAGTCTTTATCAGAAGAGTTTGGCAGGATGAAAGCTAACGTTTCTCTAAAATGTTTTATATTAGCTACTTGAATTTGGTTTTTTTAAGCCGTTTTAAAGTGTGCAAGTTGGTGACATCGGTTCTGTTTACCGTGCTGTGCAGCCCTCACCTCCGTCTGCTGGTAGAACGTTCTCATCTCCCCGCTCAGCCATCAGCTCCCATCCCCTGCCGTTGCCCAGGCCACTCACCTGCTTTCTGTCTCGGTGGGTTGGCCTGTGCTGGCTGTCCCATGTGAATGGGAGCACGGGTGGCCTTTGTGCCTGGCCTCCTTCACTTGGTGTGGTGCTCGCAAGGGTCACTTGTGTGGAAGAATGTGTTCGGACTGACTCGCATTTAAAACGGCAACAAGCTGGCCTGCTCTTGTAGTCAGATAAGTTCCTTTTTTCTTCTTCAGTCAACTGAGCTCTCTGGGCATTCTGTATGTTGGATTGTCCAGGGACCGCCACATAGTCACCTCCACTTTTATCAGGCAAGGGGATTGACTACGCTTTGGGAAACTTTGAATGCTCACCTGAGGCCCTGACAGGCTGCCGCCTGCCACCATGCAGAGTGGTATGGGGGCCTTCGCAGGAGCACAGTCAATGGCCCCCAACCTCTGAGCCACTTGTCTGCATGGGAATACCCACACTCCATTTCGTAGTTTCATGACCTGGAGTAAGCTGCTTCAATTCCTCAGAGTTGTTTCTCCCATCTGCAAGATGGGAATAATAATTGCCTGGCCTCCGTCATTGTAGATTTTGTGTTTACGAGTTCATCCATTTGCTGAAATTTATTTGAACCCCCAAAGCAGTATTCTTGGCCCTCCAGCAGCCAGTCAAAAACAGATGTGTCTGCAGTGCGTCAGTCCCTCAGCATGCACATTCCCAGCCTAGGCCGACACAGCGGCTCTGGCCTTAGCTAGTCCAGCGTTGGTGGATTTCAATACCACTGTCCCAAGGAAAGAGAAACAGGAAATAGAAAATGTTCGTCTGGTACCAGGACAAGCAGTGGCTAGAGGAGCCCCTGGGTGGGGCAGACGGTTAATGGGGCTGAGCTGCCAACTGAAAGGTTGGAGGTTTGAGCCCAGCCACGCAGAGATACCATGGAAGCAAGGCCTGGCAGTCTTCTCAGAATCCAGTCATGGGCGACCCGATAGAGCCGTTGGATCCTGACACACATAGGGTCACATGAATGGGAAGAACTTGGCAGCAAGTGTTTTTTAAGACACTGCTGCCAGATGTCCGTCACCAATAGCAATAAAACTCTGGCTCTCTTTTCTTGTGTTCAGAACCAAAGCCCCAGTGAAATGGTCAGAACTTTTCAGAATGTGCTGTTAGTGTGGGGTTCTTGGCAGGCAGAAACCAGATCAGGAAGAAAGTCTTTGCTGGGAAAGCATCCTGAGGTAAGAGGGCGGAGCCTGAGAGATCCACACACTGATCTGATGCAGTCTTATTTTAACCATCAACTGGATGTCCGACTCCCAATTGTTAGAGGCAGCCAGTGGGAAGTCAGCCACAACACCTGATGGTGACCGTGCATGTGCTTGCTGACTCACATAGCAGCTAAGCCATTCAAGGGGTAGGTGCTAAGAAGCTGGGCAGTCCCTGGGGAAGTGTCCTCTCAGTGTCCATCTTTGTGTTACAGGTGGCGGAGATGCACGGTGAGCTGATCGAGTTCAACGAGCGCCTGCACCGGGCCCTGGTGGCCAAGGAAACCCTGGTGTCACAGATGAGGCAAGAGCTCATCGACCTGCGAGGCCCGGTGAGTCCTCCACGGGGAAGCTGTGCTGCCGCCACCCACGGCTCCCCTGGCTGTCGGGCCGTTTGATTATTAGCAATATCAAGGATAGAGAAAGTAGAGAGACTAAACTCATTCTCCATGTATCCACCATCTAAGAGCCCCAGCGGTACAACAGTTAAGCTTTCAGCTGTTGGTAGTTCAAACCTACCCAGCAGCTCCCGAGAGAAAAACCTGGTGTTGTGTTCCCATACATAAGAATGACAGCCAAGGAAGCCCCATTCAGCCCCACCAGCCTCTTGCTCCTCAGAGGAAAGTTGAGGCTGTCTGCTTCCATAAAGATTTGTGGGCTTCAAAATCCCACGGAACAGGTCTGCTCTGCCCCGTAGAATCCCTGGGAGTCAGAATCCGCTCAGTGGCAGTGAACTGGCTAGGAAACCCCATAGGGCATTTCTATTTGGTAACACACAGGGCTGCCGAGAGTTAAAAATAAATTCCAAGAATGAAGCAGCAATAAACTTCCACTCAAATTCCTTTTCCCAGGGGGAGCAGGGAGTATGTGTGCATAACAAATAGAATAAGATGCTACCGTGGCTGTGGAAGTCCCCTTTCCTGCCTGCTCTGCTCTCCCCACCCAGGAGCTTGACTTTGGACCTGGTGGCCATGTTTTCACCACCTTGCCGTGGAGACACTGGTCCATGAGCTGGGCACGGCCTAGCTTCCTGTGGGCGACTTTCATCTATGTGATAGCCTCTGTTTGTCACTTTTCATTTTTATGTTTTATTAGGGCTTGAGGTGTAGCTCAGCTAAATCTACTGGGGGCATTTCTCAGCCTTGATCCTAGGCCAATGGGCAGGGGCACTTATTGTGGGGCAATGTGATGTCCTGTGCACCGCAGGATGCTTAGCAGCATCTCTGGGCTCTACTCTCCAGATCCCAGGAATCCCCCCCCCCCCAAAAAAAAATGCCCACCTAACATTCCAGATGTCTCCTGGGGAAGAGGGTTAACTGAGGACCACTGGCTGAATTTATTTACTTCCTCTGCTCTTAAGTTCTTTATGGGATGACATACCACAAATATTTGTAATCTGATTTTATATCTGTAGACATTTGTTACCAAGCATGACCCTGACCATTTAAAAATGCATGCGTCCTTTCGTATGCATTCTTCATAATTTCGTATTCCTGGTAAGACCTTTGTGATTTAACCTTTGACAGGCATAGTAACACAGTGGATCCCCATGTCTCCTTCCCCACATTGAACCGTCATGGATCGTGCCCCGTCGTGTTTTCAGTGATGAGCCTACCACCACTTCCCCTTCTGTGCATTTTGAGTCAAACCCTGGGTTCTGGTTCATCTGTCGATGTTTTAGTGTACAAGACCCCTTAAGAAAGAAGGCAGAAGAACCACAATAGAGTTAGAAGGCCGCCTTCCTCCACATCCAAACACTTTTACCAGCCCTTCCTCCATGTGATCCAAGATCCAGGCAGTGTTCACATCTCCATTGGTCTCACGATTTAAAAATAGTCTCTTGAGTCGGGATCCATTTGGCGTGTGTATATTTTAATTGGCGTGTGTATACTTTAATTGGCTGATGTGCTTGCTTTTTTCTTGGTTTGCTTTACAGAGTTTCTCTCTCCTGGGGTTTTGCTGATTGCATCTGGAGCTGGGGGTGGGGGTGGGGGGAGGGTGGTATGTGCAGATTACTTGGCTCCCTGGATTTCCTTCACCTGGGATTTGGATGAGAAGCCTTGGATCCAGTTTCATTTTGTTGATGATGCTCCAGTATTGTCGGTACGGTGTCTTCCATAAGAGACACACTAGGTTGACTTGTCTTTCTCTTTATATGAAACCAAGTGGAACCCACTGGCATCAAGTCAATGCCAGCTCCCCAAATAAAACGATTCAAAAATAAATAAAAATAAATAAAGATGTCAATATAAAAAAAAAGTCAATCCCAGCTTCCATTGTCCCCCCGATATAGCATCTCCAGGACTAAATCTTTACTAGAGCAGACAGACTCATCTTTCTCCAATCAAGCAGCTCATGGGCTTTGAACTACCGACCTTGCGGTTAGCCTACCCTTACTATGCCGAGCCCATATTTACAACCACTTCTTGGATCCAGTAAGCAAATGTGTTTTATTACACTATAAATTGCCAAGTGGTAGGCCTGGCATCTTGACCTTGGCAGGGTACCACCACACTGTAAAGTCGACGGCATCTGGTGACCCCGTTGTTGACGTGCTGCATTGTCCTTTCCCACCACCTTTGACTGGTGTTTCCTCGTCACAAATGAGGGGCCATTTTGACTTTTGGCTCCCCCTTTGCTGATGTATTCCTTGCAGCCTTTACTAATTTTCTATTGAATGGGATTTGCTTTTCCTTTTTTTTTTTAAAACAGTTTCATTAGCACTTCATCAATAAGTCAGTCACATCAAGAAGAGTTGTGCAGTTATCACCACAGTTGATTCTAGAACATTTTCTTCTTCCTTTTACTTGTTATTTATGTACATAGTTATTTTTTTTCTAATTGTGGTAAAAATATCCACAACAAAGCATTCTCCAATTCAACTTCTACATGTATAATTCAGTGCCATTTATTATACACTTTGTGTTGTACAACCATTATTGATATCCTTTTCCAAATTATTCCACTACTATTAACATAATCTCAATGCCCCTAAGCAATAACTCTTCCTCTTTTACCCATAGTAACCATTGATCAAGTTTTTAAAAAATATAATATAACACTTTTCTTGATATAATACTCATTGATTGCAGCTTGCAGTTGGGCTATACTTGCATAAACTCCTCATAGGAACAGTATCTTAAATTCTTTGTCACTGGAAAAATTATTTATTTTTTTTAGTATGTAAAAACTGTTTTTTTAATTTTCTAGGGTTCTTTGTTTGTTTAATCGTTTTATTAGGGGCTCATATGACTCATCACAATCCATACATACATCAATTGTGCAAAGCACATTTGTACATTCATTGCCCTCGTCATTCTCAAAACATTTGCTCTCCACTTAAGCCCCTGGCATCAGGTCCTCATTTTTTCCCCCTCCCTCATGAGCCCTTGATAATTTATAAATTGTTTATTTTGTCATATCTTGCCCTCTCCAACGTCTCCCTTCCCCCACTTTTCTGTTGTCCGTCCCCCAGGGAGGAGGTCACATATAGTTCCTTGTAATCGGTTCCCTCTTTCCAACCCATTCTCTCTCTACCCTCCCAGTATCACCACTCACACCACTGGTCCTGAAGGACTCATCCACCCTGGATTCCCTGTGTTGGAAAAATTATTGTTGTTATCAGTACTATCACCTTATACCCCAGGGAGATGCTTGACAGTGTGTTTAATTTTTGTTTCTTTGGTTTTTCGTTTGGCTGCCTTTTGTTTGTTTTTGTCGTTCCTGTTGGTTTTTGTTTTTGTCACAATACAACCACCGAGGTAAACCAGAGTCGTTCATGCTCTGAGACAAGCAGTTGGGTTCTGGACTCCCAATCCAAGAACAGTTCATTCTGATCACATGTCCCTGCTCAATACTCACCTGCATGAAATGATCACTGAAGATAAGGGTGCTACAGCAAAGTGTGGTGAAGAAAGCAGATGGTTCCCGGCTATCAACTGGAACAGTTCTGGGCTTTTAAGGGCTTATATTCAAAGACGCAGCTATATAATATAAGTGAGGTGGCAACTAAGTCCATGTGGATTTGCTTTTCTTTTTTATTGATTTGTAGTCATTCTGTATGTGCTTTTTAAGTTACCAACAGTGTATGTTTTCCTTTTTTGCCTGTGGCGTGTTGACTTTTAATAAAAGTTAGTTCTGGAAAACTTCAAACCTATGCAAAAGCTGAGAGAACCTTCTCATGAAATCCCCAGGACCCACTTGGCTTTAGAAAGCGTCAGTTTAGAGTCTGCCTTGCTCCACTCGAACTCTCCTTAGCCCTTCCCAGACCAGGTTATTTGGAAATGCATCATCTTTAGCATAACTATTTTAGTAGTTATCTCTAAAAACGTGTTACAATACCATTATCACACTTAAGTATTAACAATTAGTTCTTAAATTGTCAAATATCTAGGAAGTGCCCTGTTTTCTCCACTTACATAACATTTCTGTGAATTTATTTGCTCTTATCAGAATCCTAATAAAGTCTGTGCATTGTGATTAGATGAAACACTTTTTAAAATCATTATATTGGGGGCTCGTACAACTCTTACCATAATCCATACATCAATCGACTCAAGCATGTTTGTACATATGTTGCCTTCATTCTTTTCTAGACATGTACTTTCTATTGAGCCCTTGATAGATGATACATTTCTTTTTTTTTTCTTTCTTTTTTTTTTACCTTTTTATTATATTTTATTGGGATATACATCACATATCATACAACTTAATCATTTATTATATTAAGCTGATGTGTGCAATCATCGCCACAATCAATGGCAGAATGTTTTCTTCTTGTTCACATTGCCATTAGCTCCCCACTTCCCCCCAGCCTCCCAGCAATGCCCTAGGCGATTATCAATCCAGTTACTGTCTATATAGTAACTATTCTGGGTTTCATATACAGAAAATCATACACAATACAAACACAAAGAAAACAAAATATATCTATTTTGTAAAAATCAAAAGAAACCACAACAATCGCAAGTAGACAAAACATTCAATAACCTCTTCACAGAAGAAAGCATAAGATATTAAAAACCCAAACTACTTTAAACTGGATCAAAAAGGAAAGCATATAAGATATTACTTTTTTTTTTAAGCACTAAACATTTTTATTTATTAAGAAATTATAATATTAAATCTGTATTGACATATAATTCACATTTCTTAAATGTCTTTAGATTTTTGCATTCCTTACTCCCTCTACCTTTATATCCTTAACCTTTCCTACCCCCTCTAAGTTCATTAGGAGCCCTGGTGGCATTGTGGTTAGACATTGGGCTGCTAACTGCAAGGTCAGCAGTTTGAAACCACCAGCTGCTTCTCAGGAGAAAGATGGGGCTTTCTA